ACGGTGTCCCACCTGTCGACATCTGATACCAGGTCGCCAGTTTCTGGAGGAACTTCACCTTGATAATCCCCAACGACCAATTGAAGTCCTGGGTCCATGCCTGTACAATCGGTGGGAGAGGGACTCCACACAGGCCGATGATCGCGAGGGCCTGAAAATAGTTGAAGAGCGATGCGGCATAGAGCGATACGTGGGCGGCGGTGTTGGCATGTCCAAGACCAGTTACCAGGGCAGAGCCAATGAGGCCCAAGATGGCGATCAGGGCGGTCGCCACCTTGACTCCGTCTTGGTTTACTGTCTTCATGTTGGAAATTCGCGATTTAACACAAGCCAAACTGTTCTTTAGTTCAGTGTCATCCGCCATATACAAGTGGACAGTGACGGTTGCATCCAGGTCGGGGATCTGAAAGGCAATGGCTGGGATTGAGCTCGTCACGGATGATGAGATGTTGTTGTAGGTGGTGTCAAAATTGATCTGGGGAAGATTCAATGGACAAAAGCCTGAAAAGGCGACGCCCATGGTGCATGGATCTATGGTCTTTCTGAGGAAGGTGTATCCATAGGCGGCGGCGTCGACCTCGAGACGCACCCTCCCCGTGATAGATGTGGCGCCCTTGACATCGATGGTCAAGGTCCCGTTGTCGGGGGAGAAGGCGATTTGGAATAAGGAGACGGTGAAATTGGTTGTGGATTGACAGGAATCCAACGATTGAGACTCGAAGACTCGAGAGGCGGAGACCGTCGGCACTCGAAGGGACAAGAGGGCCGAGAGCAGGATGGCAGCAGATGAGGGATAGAGACGCATTTTGAACGAGGGTTGATCAGTCTAAGCTCGTGGGGGGGGGTTGATTGTTGTGCCCAGTCGTGTCGTGCTTGCTGTCACGACGGGCTCACTGGCGACGGAAGCTTGAAGCCCTCCCCTTTGCTCCGACGCGATGATAGTTGATAGCGGTTGAAGGCCGATGACGAGTTGGTCAGGCGAGGCTGCTGTGAGGTTGTGTCGTCTGTCGTCTGACTGTCGTCTGAAGAGGGGGTCACGTGTTACTAGCGTAGATCTGGGGGGTTTGAGCGAGAGTGGGCCGACCCATCAAATGTTGGAGTGGCGGAGAGAGCGACAGTGAAGGGGGAGGGATCGTTCAGGAGAAAGTACTCAAGAAGCTGCAGCCGCCGGGCATCGCGTGCGCACTTTCAATCCAACTGGAGGGCACCGCAAGGTACTGTAGCCTCTTGTAAGGAGTGCCGTGTCTTCGTTTCCTGTCGACGATGGGCAGGAGCAAAATGATAAGACTGTCTGGAGCGGCGAAGGGGGAAGGGGAGGGGAGTGAGAGAAGCGGAGGGGAGGGAAGGGAAGGGAAGGGGAGAAGAAGGCTGGAGGCTGGAGGCTGGCTGCTACCGTAGATTAGATGGGCTGACCCGCGCCCTTGCTGCAGGCCAGGTTTCCACCCTCGACCGACCCGGCCAGCTGCTGAACTGCGGCGCCGCCTCTGCCAGTCCCGCACAGTCCAAGTCCAGTCCAGTCCAGTCCAGCTCAGAGCGCAGCACAACCAGCACAGCCCCCCTTCCAAATCAAAAGCTCGTATTGCAGCTGACACACCAGGAGAAGGTGAGTGAGGGAGTGAGTTACGAGTCTGGACATAAATGATAAATTACGTTGAGTATTGAAGGCGTTCACGACATTTGAAGGAAGCGGTCAATGTTGCCTGCTCCGTATCGTATCCAGCTCCGCCGGCCGCCGGCCGCCAATCCGCTGTGCAGAAGTGCATCCTTCTGCGGACCTCGAAGCACACTGTCCACGCAGCCTCTCAGCCGCACAGTCAGCCAGAGACTGCCTGCACGCCTGCAGGCCTGCTCCAGCAACCGGTTGCTCCTGCACGGCAAACACCACCTTTGGTGCACCGTGGTCCGTGGACCATGATCCGTGTTCGAGAGGCGTAAAATTGTTTTCCGCTGCGCCCCAAACAATCAACGTCACACAATCCCTGTCCAGAGTCCTCTCTCATATCTTCGACTTGACAAGTTGACCCCTTCATTATTCGCCCAGCGCGCTGCGCGCTCCCTTCCTCGAATCCTCCCTCCTCCCCCCCCCCAACCTCAAGCCGGCTCGCGTGCCCCGGCCAAATCGTTCGCAGATCAAATCAAGCCTCAAGCACACGCCAGTAGTGACACCACAACACCACAAGTCCACACCCCCAAATCGTCCGCGCATGACCTCCCGAAATAGCGACTCGCTACACCCAAGCAAGCCATCGGCCGCCCTGTTGGTCCAGCCTTTGGACGGCAAGCCGCTGATCTTTATAATAGGGAGGGCCATGGTTCCTGCGTCACTAGGCGGCTCGACATAATCGCCCGAAGGTTGGGCTCTGCGTACTCCGTATCTTTCTCCTCACAACAACGTCGCAACTTTTCCCATTCTCCATGCTTTGGACCTGAGCCCGCGAACGGCGCCCCCCGCACGTGGTCTAGCACCAGACTAGACTGGCTTTGCGTGCCTGGCTCGGATCCCCCCCCTTCCCTCCCCCCACACGTTGTAAATAAGCTTAATCCGTCCTCCGAACGCTTCACACGCATCATGGCATGGTTTTCTGTCCCTCGACCGCTGGCGGTGCTTCTGGCACTGTCGCTCTTCGGTGATGCCGCCGCCGGCATCGAGCTTGACTTGACCTCACCTGGTGCGTTCTCTCGGGCCTCAACCCGCCAACTCCCCCCGGGCTCTTTGGCTGATATTCAGAACAGCGTCGATCAAGTCAGCGGCAAGCACAATCGCCTTTGACATGATGTCCTACTATAAAGGAAACCTCTCAGGCCAAACGCCAGGGGTACTGCCCGGTCCTCCACCGACCCCCTCTGTAACAAATGCGGGATACTTCTGGTGGGAATCAGGTGCAATGTTTGGAAGTCTCGTCGACTACGTAAGCACACCCACACCTCTACTATTTCCAATAGTCCTATTCCCTAAGACACTTGTCCGCTCCATTTTGTCGTCACATCATCTTCATCTCGGAAACTTTCTAACTGTTTGGATTTCTAGTGGTATTACACAGGTGACACGACTTACAATGACGTTGTCTCACAAGCACTGCTATTTCAGACGGGTCCAGATAATAACTACCTTCCTACGAACCAAACCAACGGCATGGGCAACGATGATCAAGGTAGCTACAACTTCCTTTACGTTCGGCGCCTCCCTAGTCCAGGGCGTGTTCTGGCAACACAATTCCGCTGACCGATCTCCAAACAACAGGTTTCTGGGGCATGTCGGCAATGACTGCAGCAGAATTAGGTTTTCCAGACCCTCCACCCGACCAGCCACAATGGCTCGCACTTGCTCAAGGAGTCTACAACGTTCAGGCAGGCAAGTGGGACCCTGCCACTTGTAATGGAGGCTTGCATTGGCAAGCCTTTTCCTTTCTCAACGGTTACACCTACAAGAACTCCATCGCCAATGGGTGCTTCTTCAATATCGCTGCTCGCCTGGCCGTATACACGGCCAATGATTCATATGCCGTATCTGCAGAACGAACATGGGATTGGATGAGAAGTGTTGAATACATAGATGACGCTTATAATGTGTATGACGGCGGGCAATCGCTGTCTAACTGTACGCCCGTCAATAAGCAGCAGTATTCGTACAATTCTGCCATATTTCTCCTTGGGGCTGCACACATGTACAACTATGTAAGTGCAGAATCACGCTTGTCGAACGTTACACAAAGACTGACAGGATATACAAGACAAAAGGTAGCCAAATCTGGCACGACCGGGTCGCCGGACTCCTCACTGCAACCCTCACAAACTTCTTCCCAAAAGGCATCGCCTACGAAAAAATATGCGAAGCAAAAGTAAGCACATGCTCGATCGATATGCTCAGCTTCAAAGCCTACCTCACGCGCTGGATGGCGGCAGCCACGAAACAAGCCCCCTTCATCTTCGACCAGGTCAAGGAGGTTCTCAAGAGCTCTGCCGAAGCGGCAGCCCTCCAATGTTCCGGTTCTCCGGCTGATCGTCCAAACGGGAGAATGTGTGGACTCAGCTGGGCACTCGGGGCAGCGTGGGATGGCACATCGGGAGTCGGACAGCAAATGGCTGCGATGGAGGTCATTCAGAGCAATTTGATCCAGCAAGCGAAAACCCCTCTGACGGCAGGCTCTGGGGGCACGAGTAAGGGGGACCCCAACGCGGGAAGCGGAGATGTCAAAACACCAGAAGTAGTGAAGCCGATTACCACAGCGGATCGAGCCGGTGCTGGGATTTTGACGGCCTTATTGGCTGCTATCGTGGTGAGTGGCCTGGCCTGGGTGAGCATGGCCGAGAAGGGAGTAGGTATCATAAAGGGATAATTATAGTGTCAAACTTAAATTTGGCAGACGGCAACTCGGGGTACAACGTCAGGAGATTAATGTCCTGCATTTTCTGGGAGGTTTTGGGATTTCATTTGGAGCATCATCATGAAGAGGCGTCAGGAATACCTGGTTTTGAATGCATAGAACTTGAAAATGACTAAAAATTATAAATCCCGAATTCCTGTCCCCCTAATGTCCTCGAAGCAAGACATACCTTGACCTATTGCTCCATTTCAGAATCCTAAGAGGTATAGGACAATAGCCCCCCACAATTCTGATTTTTCAAGATAAAACTTCGTAGCTGACGTTTATTATTTTCAGTCATCTCAATGTCCTAGATGACTTTGGACAAGCGGAGATATCTTTTCCATGATGCGGGGCTACTGTCTTGTTGATCCTTCCCTCTTATTGACTATTTGTAGTTTTTAATATATGGAGTCTTAAGGAGCTATTCTCATCCTCACAACATCCTAAGTAATTGCTGATTGCAAAGTCGTGATTAGAAGAACTCAGATCTCCAATTCTTTCAGAAAGTTCACTCATTGGTGGAAAACATGCGGGGCGGGGAGGGGCGGAGCAAAAGTGTCTGTGCCGAAGTATTTCCGCGAAATTGGTAATGGCGCTATAGATTCAAATAAGGAACTTTTTCGTTGCTCTTGAGGACGATTGGTGTAGCGGTTATCACGTCTGCTTTACATAGCATAATTACATGTTCATATCGCAGCAGGTCGCAAGTTCGATCCTTGCATCGTTCAAAAATTTTTGCTTCTTCGTTCCATGCGCGAAGTGATTGGGCTTTTTTTGGTTCTTTTGCTCCAATTCAATTTATTTTTACAACAGTCTTGCGATCATCTGACATTGGGACCTTTAACCGAGACAAACTCTCTATCTAATCGCCGACCGCAGGTCCCTCTATTCAATTGCATCTTTGAGCCCATCCTTCCTGCCGCATGTTTTGACACGCGTTCCACTCCCTAAATTCCACAATTGCCAGCGTCTCCCCCACCTTCTACTTGAAGTCCCCTTCAACCACGCCGCCATGGACTTCAATGGTTCGTCGCCGTTCCCTGAGGGAGTCATCTCCTTCCTGGACACTGACCTCTACAAGTTGACTATGCAATGCGCAGTCTTGAAGTATTTTGCAGATGTGAATGTGACCTATGCTTTCAAGAACAGGACTCCTGACAAGAAGCTTTCTAGAGCTGCTTTTCAGTGGCTCCAGATCCAAATCAATAGTACGTCTCTCCCAGCCTTGCGCCTTGCGCAACCTAACACAAACAGAGCTCGGAAACATAGCCCTTTCGCCTGACGAACTCCGCTTTCTACAGTCAACCTGTACCTACCTCAATAAGGAGTACCTCGATTTCCTCAAGGACTTCAGACTCAACCCTCGCGAGCAAGTCACAGCCTCGTTCACCGCGAAAGACGACACAGGCAGCGACACAGATATTGGCGAAGTCAATCTTGTTGTGAAGGGATCCTGGGTCGAGACAATCCTCTACGAGATTCCACTGCTGGCTCTGACAAGCGAGGCATACTTCCGGTTCATTGACAAGGATTGGATTTACGATGGCCAGGAGGAGCAGGCTTACGCTAAGGGCATGCGTCTGCTAGAAGCTGGTTGTATCGTTTCGGAGTTTGGAACCAGACGGAGGAGAGACTACCATACTCAAGCACTTGTATTCCGAGGTTTGGTCAAGGCGAAGAAGGAGGGGAAGAAGAATGGCCTACCGGGCGAGATCTCTGGCACGAGTAATGTCCATCTTGCTATGAGGTTTGGCATTCCTCCCATCGGAACAGTTGCACACGAATGGTTCATGGGAGTAGCGGCAATTACTGGTAACTATGAGACCGCGACCAAGACTGCGTTGAGCTACTGGGTGGGATGTTTCGGGGAGGGTGTTCTCGGCATAGCTTTGACTGATACGTTCGGCACACCCATCTTCTTGAAAGCATTCAGAGAACCAATTTACCCTATCACTCCAGCAGATCAAACGGGTTTGGCTGACGGCGTGGTCGAGTCTGAGACCTCAGCCAACGGATCGGAGAAGGCAAAAACATTTGCCGAGGTCTTCACGGGTGTTCGACAGGACTCTGGAGACCCTGCAAATTTCGTCAAGATTATGCGGGATTTCTACGCCAAGGAGGGCATCAAGGAGCCGAAGACGATTGTCTTCTCCGACTCCCTCAACATAGATCTTTGCCTAGAGTACAAGAAGATTGCTGAAGAGGCCGGCTTCAAGTGCACATTCGGTGTCGGAACCTTTTTCACCAACGATTTTGTCCACCAAAGCACTGGTCACAAGTCTACCCCTCTCAATATTGTTATCAAATTGAGCTCGGCAGCAGGCAACCAAGCCATCAAGATCAGTGATAATATTGGCAAAAATACGGGCGACGTGGCCACGGTTGAGAAGGTCAAGAAGGTACTGGGTTATGAAGAGAAGGTTTGGAAATTGGGTGATGAAGAGCACCGATGGGAGACGGATGATGATCAAGGCAAATAGCCGATCCCTGTCGTTGAGCTTCTTGGTGGCTTTTGTGTGTGCTTGCTTGTGCATCGGTCTGCGTGGTTGGTTTGCATGGAACGGCGTTGGGATAGGGGGTGGGGCAACCTCGGTCATTCACATGTCCCAGCAACGGCCCTAGATTTTAGAGCTCGATTTGACTTGATGGTCGTCGGTGCCAAGAAGCAATGAATCAATAACAGGAATTTTCATTCCAGTCGTCAACACTGAATGCGTACTGTATCCAAGTGACAGGGAATGAGATGTTAACTTGTACCTACTATTGTACAGTACTCACTTAGGGACCTACTTATTGCAGCAAAATTGGAAAATGAGCCATGGCACACGGACTCAATCCACGTCATACAGCAGACATCGACGTTTCTCAAGTGGCAGGTGTGCCTCTCAAGGGAGAGCAGTCATGTTCATAAAGTACTGTGCGGCTCGCGGCTCATTTAGGGGGTTGGGCGGACGTTAGCGAGCTCCCTGAGTTAATTTCAGCCAACGAGACGACGTGCATCTTGTCAAAACCAGCGCCTTGTCGAAAGATGCCCTTCGGTTTCCACTCGCACACATCTTCCTCCTCGTCGCAACATGCGCAGCAGGTTCCTGGAGCTGCTACTGCTTCTGGTATCCTGCAAGCAGCTCACAATCTAGGTTCTATCGGGGCCCCCGCTGGCAACCTCAACAACATCGGGTCTGCGAGAACGGCAGCTGGCACAGACAGGCTCTACCCCTCCGGCGCAACGTCGTTGAACTCGAACCTGGGAGGACAGCAGTCTGCGCCGCCATCTGCTTATGCTCCACAGCACGCCAATCCATCGATTGCAGCGCACCCTTCCACAGGAGAAATGAGCCAGCCACAGCAGTTCGAGAGCCAAAGACGCAGCCGACACCCAGATGAGCTCCATCTGAGCGGCGCAACGAATATGGCTTCCCAGCGCGGAGCTCTGTCTCCTAGAGACTATACAACATCCGCAGGTCCTCGTATCAGCCTTGAGCAAGCCGCACCCGAAGCATCTCAGTATACAAGCGCGGGGCAGCTCCCAGGCTCTTTGCAACCTGGCAGACCAGGCCCGATTACAGCCAACACCGCGCCCAGTGCGCCAACCATGGCGCCAGAACAGTACTCTTCTCCTTCAAGATCCTCAGCTGTAGGCCTCTCGCACAGCTATACACGCTCGAGTCCAGCCGCTGGCTTCGATGGCCAAGGGTTCACGCCCTTCACACCAACAACACCAGGAGGAACTGACCAGGGTCACTTTACATCTCCCACGACACAGAAATATGCTCCCCAGAGTACCCAACGGGCAGTCTCGAACACGCCACTTGGCCTCGCAGATATTCGACCCCGCGCTGACTCTGGTCTCTCTGATGGATTGCCTGGGGCAAATCCATATTCATATGACGGCGCCAACTCAGTCCCCACCAACAGCAATTATCTTGCACCATGGGCTATATATGCTTTTGACTGGTGTAAATGGCCGGCCCAGAATCACGATGCGGGGAAAGTGGCTGTTGGGAGCTATCTGGAAGATGGACATAATTTTGTAAGTGTTTGCCCGTCAGAGGCCAGTTATGCTATGGAGATATGCTCATGCTCTTGTCAGATTCAAATTCTAGATTCACAAATTACCCCTACACCACCTGAGTCGTATACCCCAGGAGCTCCAAAATATGGGTTGGAGTTTATCAAGATCGCGGAAGCTACCCACTCGTATCCAGTCACACGCCTCTTGTGGGAACCGCCATCGTCTCAGAAGCAATCAACCGATCTTCTTGCTACCTCTGGAGACCATCTCAGACTCTGGTCTCTACCCTCAGAAACACCAATGGCGTCTCCTGGAAATTCTATTACCCGCTCCGCGAATCATGGAAGAGATCTTCCAGCGAGCAAGCTTACACCATTAGCACTCCTTTCAAATTCGAAGACCCCCGAACACACAGCTCCTTTGACTTCGCTGGACTGGAATACCGTCTCGCCCAGTCTCATCATCACATCAAGCATTGACACTACCTGTACAATCTGGGACATACCAACATTGACGGCAAAAACACAATTGATTGCTCACGATAAGGAGGTCTTCGATGTGAGGTTCTGTGCAAATAGTGTTGATGTCTTCGTGAGCTGTGGAGCAGATGGGAGTGTCCGAATGTTCGACCTACGAAGTTTGGAGCATAGCACCATCATTTACGAGCCCACTGCCAAAGATGACAAAGGTAAGTTGTGCCCTATGCTCTTTGGACTTAAATACTAATTCCTACCTAGATGCCAGTCCTGGCGGAGGAAGAATAAGTCCTACGTTGGCGCAGCAGACAATGTCATACGCTCCACCCTTACTGAGGCTTGCTGCATCGCCTCACGATACTCACCTATTAGCAACCTTCTCTCAAGATTCCAATATTATTCGGATTCTTGATGTCCGGCAACCAGGGCAAGCCTTGCTCGAGCTTCGAGGGCATGCGGCGTCAATAAATTGCATAGAGTGGTCACCTTCGCGAAGAGGCACCCTTGCCTCTGGCGCTGATGACTCCCTGGTTCTGATTTGGGACTTGCTGAGCCAAAGCACTGCACTTACTCCACAAAGTTCAGCAGTCAATGGTGCACCTGCATCAGACAACGCCCGTGGACCAGCAGCCAGCTGGCAATGTGATTACGAAGTTGGGAACATCAGCTGGGCACCCCATAGTGCTTTGAACAACGACGGTGGGGATTGGGTTGGAGTTAGTGGTGGTCGGGGAATTTGGGGCGTTAAACTTTGATGAAATGTTATGTTCCAAGAAGATCATAGACGAAATGATATCCGCATTGTCAAGCCAGGCGTTTGGGTCGATTCTGATGGCGGCATCAATATCCAGGCATTTGGGATGAGAATGATGTCGCTTATAGCGCACATTGTATTATAGAGGAAATGCATGAACCTCTTGATGGGGTAGCGAAGACTCAATAGAACAACAGTCTTACTCGACCTAGCTTTCAAATTCACAATCGCGACCCATAGCGGCCATGTTCCAGCAGCACCACGGCTTTGCCCCAAACATATCGGGCTTGAAGGTCCTTCATCGCGCTGACCACGCTTTCCAATCCTCTATAGCTTCGATCAAAGACCGTTGGTCCGAGTAGACCATCTTCCCACATGACTTTCAGCCCTCTCCAGATTTCGGCCGTCTCTCCTGGATCTGTTCGATCGGTCATACCGAAACGCTGGTAAAGGTCAGAGGGAGGCAACCGAGTTTGTTTCGACTTA